CTGCGCGACGGGAGGGGCTTCCCAGGGGTGGGGCAGGCGGGAGCGGGGAGGAGAGGAGAGGGGAGGGGGATGAAAGAGGAGGTTGGAGAGGTGGGGATAGGAGGATGAAAGCGAGGGGAGGGAGAGCGGGAGGCGGGAGCGAGGACGGGCAGGAGGGGGAAATGGAGAGTCTGACGGCGCGGAGAGAGGGGAGTGGGGCCAGGAGGTGGGAAGGGGTGGGGTTCCTGCGGGGAGGCACCTCTCCAAATCCTAACCTACTGCCTGCGAATGTGGAGTCGCTTCTGGAGGCGGACTGGAGAGGAGGCCAGAATCCTACTGACCCCGAAAAGCCCTGAGATGTTGTCAAGGGGTCGGGTGCGGGGCGCAGATGGAAAGGCAGGGCAGGTACCTGAGAAGCCCAAAGCTTGCAGGAGGGCCAGCGGTTGGGAGCTACTTCCTCGGCGCTGGACTCCCGCCTCCTCCCTCCACGTTCGTGGGTGGCCTTGAGAAGGAGTGGGAGCGCAGAGGGCAGCCCACCGCCTCGGTGGACACTGACATTTGTGACCCTCGCTGGGTTCCTCCCTTCCCGGCTCTGCCCTGGGACCCCCAGGCTCCTCTCCTCCGCCTCGTCCATCTTCCACTTGTCTTACTCCCCTGTCTCACCTCACTTTTGTTTGCCTGGTCCTTCCGTTTCTCTCCATCCCTCATTCATCTGTACCCAGACAACCCCCTCACAGCTATTAATACCACACCTCTCACGCTTCTGCCACCTTTCTGCGTTCTCAGCGACCCTCTTCTGCCCTTCCACCTCTGGTCTTTTCCCTCCCTCTCCCAGACGGACACTGGTCTTATCTGAGTCAGTCACCTGGCCCTGTACCCTGGCTGATTCTCAACTCCTCCTCGTGTCCTCATTTTTAAATATTTTCCCTCTCTTTGCTTTTCTCTTTCCTCTGCTGTCATCTTCCCAGCCCTTCTGAATTAGATTTGCCTTAATAGACGTCCAGGTTTGGAGGGCCAGCCCCACCCTGTCCCACACCTGGGGCCCCTCACCCTCATCTCAGTGCCACTGGTCCACCTGAGGCGCTTGGGGGGGGGGGTCAGGGGCTGGGTTGTGCAGTAAGTGTCAGGAAGGTGGATGGGGTGGAAGGTTGGAGTTTGGAGGAAGGTGTCTTTGGTGCGTGTGCACGCTATTTGTCATCATCATCGCTCTTCGCCTTTTTATCATTTCCGATATTATCGAGTAAAAGAAAACATGCTTGATCCCTCGTCACCATTATTTAGTCTGTGAGTGCTGAGCGACACCATCTTTGGGACCTTGAGATACACGTCTCCCAGTGTCTCTTTCTGACTCCACTGTCAGTTCCTCGGTCTTGGTCTCCTCGAAAACCTTGGGGTTCCAGCCCTGGTTTTTCTTCGCTGGGCTCTGTCCATCCTTTCTCTGAGCTCTTTCCATTTCTCTGTCGATCTGTCTCTGACTCACTGGCTGATGTCTTCCGTGATCTCTCACCGTCTCCATCTCTGTCCTCCCCTCTTGCTTCATTTATCTCCCTCTCCCACCTCCTTTGCCACCCGCCCCCCTCCACCCGGTCTCCCAGTCTCGCTCCCTCCCTGTCAGTCTCTTTCCTCTCCCTCCCGCCCTCCGTTCCTCTTCCCTCCTCTCCACCTCCCAGCCCCGCCTGCTGTCTCGGACACCCTGCTGGGCTCTTACCCTGTTGCCCTGGTAACCGCCCCCCACTCGGTCACCTCCACTCCCCTCCCCCTCCAATCCCGGCCCCAACAACCTCCGTCCACCTTCCTCCTATTTTTCCCGAGAGCCAATAGAAACCCTGTTGCCAGGTGGAATGCTCATTTGAATCAGCCAATCCAGGAGCCTAACTGCTTGCCCTGCCTTATATGGGGATGTGAGGAGGGCCACTCCCCCCACTCCAGCCCCACGGGAGACCGGCCCCTCCACTGTCCTCTCTCCCCTCCCTGAGGGACGAGGACCCTCCCTCTCACCCTTCTCCTGGGGGCCTGGCCTCCCATTTCCCTAACTGGGACCATCAGGGTTAGTGTTAGGGTGTGGGCCGGGCCGTGGGCCGGGCCTCGGGGCTGGGGGTGGGAAAGAGGTGTGATTAGGGAAGGGGAGGCGGAGGAAGCCGGGAATTTTGCCCAGGGAGGGGTGTCTGGGAGCAGAGGCAGCTGCAGTGGAAAATTCCAGGGAGATGGAGAGGCAGAGAATGGGAATCCTGCCTCAAGGCCCCAGGGAGCGCCTTGGGAATCGAAGAGCGTGGCCTCTGGGGTCCTCGAACACCCCAGGGAAAAGATCCAGAAAGCTGGAGGCTGGACCTTCGTCCACGGGAGAAGCGTCTCCGTCTCTCCTGTCTGGTTGGACCAGAGGCCTGGCTCCTGAAGACTTGGCTTCGAGAGGAGGAAGCGAG